TGTCAAATAAATAAATAAATAATCTTAAAAAAAAAAAATCCAAAAAATTTTTAAAAAGAATGCTCATGGGTCAAAGAAGAAATCACAAAGTAGCACTTGGAAACTTAAGCCTTCAAATACTTACATGAGAGAAGAACACTGTTCTAAAATCAGTGATCTACCTGATCCACCTTAAAAAGCTAGAAAAATAAGGGGCGCCTGGGTGGCTTAGTTGGTTTCAGCTCGGGTCATGATCTCGAGGTGGTGAGATCGAGCCCTGTGTCGGGCTCCACGTTGTGTGTGGAGCCTGCTCGAGATTCTCTCTCTCCCTCTCCCTCTGCCCCTCCCCCATCTCTAAAATTAAAAAAAAAAAGGCTAGAAAAGTAAGAACAAACTAAATTCAAAGTTTAAGTTTATAGAAGGAGAAAATAGTAAAGATAAAAGTGGGGAACAATGAAATAGTAAAGAGAAAAATCCTACAGGACACAAACCTGATTCTTTGAAAAATATCAACAAAACTGGCAAACATCTGCGCTATTGACCCAGATAAAACGAGAGGCAGTACAAGTTGCAAGTAGTGTGAGTGAAAGAGGGGCGTCTCTGCAGGTCCTGTAGATACTGAGGAGACAATACTGGGGAAATGACACTACATGCCGGCAGTTTGGCAACTCGACCGACACAAAATTGGCAAAGTCTCTGAAAGACCAAAGTTACCAAAACTGATTCAGAAAGAAATAGAAGTGTGAGGAGGCCAGAAGAGGAGAGGGAAGCCCGGCCCATCGGGGGTGGAGGGGAACTTCCACGCCTGCAGAAAACTCACAGCTGGCGTCTCCCTGAGGGTGAAGGCAATGCCCACTCTGACCACGTCCACCCTGCATGGCGCTGCCAGTCCCGACCTCAGCAAGAGCAGACATGGTGGGGGGGACATACAGATTGCCACAGAAGTAAAACTGTAAATACATAAATATGGCTTTTATTCACATACCACCTGATCTAGTACATAAAAAATTCTAAGGAACCTTAAAAAAAACACAACTATTAGAACTAAAAAGTAGCTTTAGCAAAGTTCCAGGACAAGGTCAATACAAGGTCAGTATGCCAAATCAGTTGTATTTCAATACATAGCGATGAGAATTGGAAACTGCAATAAAAATACCATTTACAATAGCATCCCAAACCGTGAAATGCTTAGGGATATGCATTGTCTGTGCACTGCAGAGAAAACCTAAGACCTAAATAGTGGAGAGGTATACCATCCTCATGGACTGGAAGAGTCAATGTTAAGATGTCATTTCTTCCAAAATGTATCTACAGATTTAGCACAAACCCAATCAAAATCCCATCAGACTTTTAAAATTGAAATCAAAAATTAAAATTTACATGGAAATGCAAAGGATATAGAATACCCAAAGCAGTCTCAAAAGAGAACAAAGTCGAAGGATTTTATCTAATTGTAAGACTTACTGTGAAGGTACAGGAATCACGAGTGTGGTGTTGCGCATGTCTACACGTGTGCGACAGAGAATGGACACATACACACGTTAACTAATTGTTCAGTTAATGCAAAGGTTCTATGTAATTTAAGGAGAAAGAACAGCTTACTCAACAAATTGTGCTGGTCCAAGTATGGGAAAAAAATGAACTTCAACCCTACCCTTATCATCAAATACAGACATTAATTCAAAAATGCATCATAAGCCTAAACATCATAGCGAAAACTATAAAACTTCTAGAAGAACGCACAGGAAAAAGTGTTGTGACTTTGGATAGGCAGAGATTCCTTAGGGTACAAAAAGTACCTGTACTTTTTGATACTTGGATGGTACTTGGTAGTTTCTGATAGATTGGACTCCATGGACAATGCAGAGTTCCGCTTTCCCAATGACGCGGTGAAGATAGGAGAAAGTAAGCCACAGGCTGGGAATGTGCGTCAAGGACTTGCACCCAGAATATATTAGGAACTTTACAAGTCCATAATAAGACACAAATACAAGAGAAAATGGCCAAAATACTTGAAAAGACTCTTTACAAAAGAAGATAATTAAATGGAGAATAAGCCCACAAAAGGTGCTCAACAATTACTAGTCATCAGGGAAACGCAAGTCTAAAGCACAGTGACATGCGCCTACATGCTCATACGACCAGAACAATTTTAAGACCTGACAATATCGCATGGTAGTGAGGGTGTGGAGCCATGGGAACTTGCACACGCACTGGGGGGTCCCGGGGGCTGCCATGTGGTGCCACTACTTTGGGAAATGGTTTGGCAGTTTCTTAAAAAGTTAAACATGTACTTACTGCGCAACCCAGCCCTTCGATTTCGAGGTTACAGTGCAGGAGAAATGGAAACATCCATGCTGGGACGCCTGAGTGGCTCAGTGGGTTAGACGTCCGACTCTTGATTTCGGCTCTGGTCGTGATCTCGGGGTGGTGGGATTGAGCCCCGCGTCAGGCTCCGTGCTCAGCGCAGAGTCTGCTTGTCCCTTGCCCTCTGCCCCTCCCTCTGCGCACGCGCTCTCCCTCTCAAATAAATAAATAAATAAAATCTTTAAAAAAAAGAAACATTCACGCACCCAAAGACTTTAGCACGCATGTTTAGAGCAACTTCATGCCCAAATAGGGGACAACACAAAGATCCACCCACAGATGAAGGGGAGGGCACAGTACTACACGCCCGTATGATGGAACACTACTCCACAAGTAAAAGAGTTAGGGTATCCACAACAACATGAATGAATCTCAAGAAACATTTCTTTGGTTTCTGGGAGAACCAGACTTCAAAAACTGCCTGGTGTAGTGTAGTCCATTTATGTGAGACTCCGGAAGAGCCCTGTCTGGTCCATAGTGACAGAAGGCAGGGCAGGGCCTGCCTGGGGCTGCTGGGTGATGAAGATGTCCCAAACGCATAGATGCATACATGTTCTGAAAGCCACTGAAACGTGCATTTAAAAATGGGTGCATTTGGGCACCTGGGTGGCTCAGTCGTTGGGCGTTTGCCTTCGGCTCAGGTCATGATCCCTGACCTGGGATCGAGCCCTGCGTCGGGCTCCCTGCTCCGCGGGAAGCCTGCTTCTCCCTCTCCCACTCCCCCTGCTTGTGTTCCCTCTCTCGCTGTGGCTCTCTGTCAAATAAATAAATAAA